TTTCGCGCGTTCCTCTCGCGCCCCCGTCCTTTCTGCCTTGCTGCGCCTGCCCGTTCGGTCCCCTGGTCGTTCGTTTGGTCTTGGTGCGCGTTTTTGTGTTTTGGCGCTTCTGCCCCTTGCCCGCTCCTTTTCGCTCCCCGTTCCCGCCGCTGCCCTCGGCCTCCCCTTCTGCCGCTTTCCTCCGCTCCGGCCGGGTCCTTTTCGGCTCGTCGCCTGGTCGCCCTGCCTCCCGCGGTTTTCCGTGGCGTCGGTGCGCTTCGGCGTTTTCCCTTTCCGTTTCCGCCTCCGTTTGCCTTTGGTCCCCTTTGCGTCCCCGCGCTCGGCTGCGCCTTCCGTCCGCGTGGTTCGCTCCGGCCTGTCGCGTTTGGTCTCGCTTGCCCCTTCTTTTGTGTCTGGCGGTTTTCGCTCTCTCTCCGCGCCCTTTTGTGGGTTTTGCCTTCCCCTGGCTTTTGGCCGTGGGCCCCCTTTTTCTCGCCCTGCCCTCTGCTGGCCCTTTCGCCTGTGCCGTTGCGTCTGGCCTCTCGCCTTTGGTCTGGTTGCCTCTCTCGTTTGCGTGCCCGGGGTTCCGCCCGCCTCGGCGCCCCCCGTCGGCGTTTTCCGTTTTGGGCCCTTGCCGCCCTTTCTGCCCTCCTTGCCGCCCCTCCGCCCTTTCCCCTTCCCCCCCTCCTCTCTCTCTCCTCTCTCCCCCGCTTTGGGCTCCCCCGGCTCCGTTGTGCGCTTTTTCGCGGCCCCCGTGTTGGTGCGCTCGGCTCGTGCTTTGGCGTCCCCGTTTGCGGTCCTTTTCGCCCCCCCTGCTGCCCGCCCCTTTTTGTGCGCTTGCTTTTGGCCCTTTTTGCGCCTTGTTTTCTTCGCCCTTTTCGCTCCGCTTTTGGTGCTTTTTGCGGCTCTCTTGCGTGGTTTTTCGCGCCGCCCCTTGTGGTGTTGTTCGCTTTTCCTGTCGCTCGCCCTTTTTGGTCCCCGCTGCCTTCGCTGCTGTCCCCTCTCCTTTTTGCGCCCCTTGGGTTTTCGTTGCTTGTTGCTCTTGTGTTGTTCCCGCGCCCCGCCTTGTGTCCCCTTTTGGGCCCTGCGCTCGGGGCCCTGGTTCGGCCCCCCTTTTGGGGTTCCTTTCCGCCTTTCCTGCGCGGGTCCCCCGCTTTCCGTTTTGCCTCCCCCTTGCCCCGTCTCCGTTTGTTGTGCTTTTGGTGTCTCCCCCCCGTCTTCCCGTTGTGCTCCTCTTTTTGCTCGCGGGGCCGCGTTTCGCGGCCGTTCCCGGGCCCGCTCCGCCCCGTGCTTTTGGCGCGCGTGTGCTTGGCCTCCCGGTCGGCTCCGGTTTTCCTCTCTTCGCTTGCGCTCGCGCCTGTGCCTGCCTGTTGCTTCGTTGGGCTTTGGGTTGGGTCGTTCTTGCCTCTTGCCTCGGTGTTCCGCCCTCCTGTTTTCGGCCTCTTTCGGGCCTTCTCGGGTCCCTGTGCGCCTGCTTTGTGTTCTTCCCGGCCCCTCCTCGCTCTGTGGCGTGCTTGCCTGCTTCCTTCTTGTTTCTTTGCCGCCTGTTGGGCCTTCGTTTCGGTTTGCCTCGGGCTTGCCTTCGCCCTCCCTTCTTCGGCTCCCCTCGGCCTTCGTTTTGCCCCCGTCGCTCGGCGCGCCTTCGCTCCCTGTCGCCTGGTGTCGCCGCCTTGCGTCTGCTCGTTTGGGCCTTCGTTCGGCGCTCCGCTTGCTCCGCCTTTCGTTCTCCTTCTTTTCCCCGCTGTTCCGGCTTCCCGCGTTCCTCGGCGCCCCTCGTTCTCCTTCGCGCTTTGCCTTTGCTTTTCGCTTTGGTTCCCCGGCCTTCCCTTGCTTGGCTCCGTTGGCCGGTTCCTGGCCCTTTCTGCGTGTGGCTCGCTTCGGCCTCTTTCCGCCGCTCCCTTGGCCCTTTCTCGCGCCTCCGGTTTCCGGTCCGGCCTCTCTTGCCCCGCTCCTTCTCTCGCGCCTCCGGTTTCCGGTCCGGCCTCTCTTTCCCCGCTCCTTCTCTCGCGCCTCCGGTTCGCGTTCCGGCCTCCTCTCCTTGCTCTTTGTGCTTGCTTCCTTGGCTCTTTCTTGTGCGCCTCCGGTTCGCGGTCCGGCCTCCGTCCTGTCCGCTTCTCCTCCTTCGGGTTGCGGTTCTGGTTTGCTGTTCTTCGTTCTTGGGTTCTTTTCTGCCCTTCTCTTTCGTTCTCGTTCTTCTGTGTCCTCGTCGGGCTTCTGGGGGTCCGTTCGGGTTTTTCTTTCCTTTGCGCCCGCGTGTCCCTTCTGGGCTTCTGGGGGTCCCGTTCGGTGTCGTTCGCTTCTCGCTTCCTTTCGTTCGTTCTTTCTCCCCTCGTGTGCCTTCCCTTGTTCCTTCGCTTTCCGCTCTTGCCTTCGGTTTGTGTTCTTCCTTCTTTTCCTCTTGCCTTTCCTTTTCCCGTTCCGTCGGCCTCTGCTGCCTCCTGGGTCCCTGTTGTTTTGGTCCTCCTGCTCCGCTCTGCCTCTCTTTCGTGCTGCCGGTCCGGGCCCTCGTCGCCCGCGTTGCTCGCGCTTGGCGCCGCCTGCTCGGCGCCGGGCGTGCGCCCCCGCCGTTTTGTCCTCTTTCCGTCTCCCTCTGTCTCTCTCGCCTTGTCTTTTCCCTTTCGCGCCCGTCCCGTCTCTGTTGTCCCTTTTGGGCCTTGTCCTCCTTTTGTTCGTCGCTCTGTCCTCGTGCCTTCCCGGTTCTGGGCGGGCTCTTTCTTGTCTCTCTGTTTTTGGTTTGCTTCCGCCTGTTTCTCTTGTTCTTTGCCTCCTCTTGTTTCGTTTCTCCCCTCCGCCCCCTTCCTTGTTGTTCCGGGTTCCGGGTTGGCTTCCCTCCTGGTGGGTTCTCGTCGGTGCCCTCCTGCCTTGCGCCCTCGGGTCGTGCCCCGTTGGTCTCCGCGCCCCCGGTTTCTCGGTCTCCCTTGTCCCGCGCTCCCGTCTCGTCGCGTCCTGCGGCTCGGTGCGGCGCCGTCCGTCCCTTCTCTTCGGGCGGCTCCCGGCTGTCCTTCGGCCCCTTTCCTCTTTTGTTTCGCTTTCGTGCCTCGTGA